GACGATATCGATTTCCCCCTCACTACTCCCCGGCCGGTGAGGAAAATCGCCCTTGTCGTCGTCACCGGCGACCGCGGCCTCTGCGGCGGTTTCAACAACGCCGTCATCAGAAAGGCCGAGAAGCGAATCGAAGAGATCAAAAGCCTCGGATTGGATTACGCTCTGATCAGCGTCGGGAAAAAGGGGAATTCGTATTTCCGTCGAAACCCTAACCCTAATTTGGAGAAGTTGATCGAAGTTGGGAGCCTTCCAACGGCGAAGGAGGCGCAAATCATCGCCGATCACGTCTTCTCGCTCTTCGTCACCGAAGAGGTCGACAAAGTCGAGCTTGTTTACACGAAAATCGTGTCGTTGATCAAGTTTGATCCCGTAATTCACAGTTTACTTCCGTTGAAAAGGAAGGTTCTTGACGTTAATGGGAATTGCGTTGACGCCATGGAAGATGAGTTCTTCAGGCTAACTACCAAGAAAGGGAAACTGAGTGTGGAGAGAGAGATTGGTGTGAGGAAAAGGGACAAGAATGGAGGATTTTTGTCGCCGCTTATGGAGTTTGAACAGGACCCTGTTCAGATTCTTGATGCTTTGTTGCCATTGTATCTTAACAGCCAGGTATTGAGGGCATTGCAAGAGGCCGTGGCTAGCGAGCTCGCGGCGAGGATGAGCGCCATGAGCAGCGCCACGGACAATGCGGTCGAGCTGAAGAAGGGGCTTTTGAGAGTGTATAACCGCGAGCGGCAGGCGAAGATCACCGGAGAGATTTTGGAGATCGTTGCCGGAGCTGAAGCATTGAATGAGTTTGAGTGGGTGTAGGAGTTGAGAATTTTAGTGCCCGTTTGAAACCATGATTCGATTAGGAATGAGAAGTTTTTGTAATAGTTGGCCTAGGATTGGAATGTCTAATTTGATTTTGTTGGTGTTGTTTTCGTTTGATGTTTTGACTTGGGATGGCAAAAGTCATTGCTAGAATGGAATGAGAAGTTTTTGTTATTGTTGGCCTATAGTTGTGAGTATATAAGTTTTGCCTTGGCTGCTGTTTTGTTCCAAATATTGTGGTCCAAACAATTTGTTGTCTCTACTATTGGTTGGAACTTGGAGTTTTGATTATCCATTGGTTTTAACACAACCTTTACTGAAAGAAAAGGAAATGGTATTGGAATTGCAAGATTTTGATGAGCTTTTTGCGTATAAAACTATTTTACCTCTTCACAAACAAAGTTGAGCTGAAATCTTCACAAGAGGGGACAACCCTTTTGCTTGAATTTTCAGTCAATTTCATTCCTTTGATCTAGTATCCATTACTAAGCATAATGGTCTTGCAATTTTCATCGATAAGATGAGCATAATTTCTCTCTCTCTTTCTTTTCTTTTCTTTTCCTTTTCTGTTTATGAAATAGAGAGGTTGTTGATAATGCTCCAAACTAAGTAACTAACACGAGTAAATACTTTGCTTTGTCAAAGAAATAAAGTAAATACTTTTCTATATTCTGGCATTATACAATGAAACCAGGGTTGGCCTGCTTGTCTTCTTTCTGTCTCAAAAAGGACTCTTTTACTTTCACAGGCAGCTTTTTCTCAAAAACATGGTATCTTCAGTGGTTCACATTTCATTTATCTGCTTTATGAGCAATTAGCATACTAAATTATAATATCAGTTTGAGGATACTAAAGTTAGAATAATTGCAAACTTACTATAAAGTTGCTTTTCTTAATGTTTCTTTGTGTTATTTCAGTATTCATGGCTGTTTCACACCATCAAAGCTCTGTTATCAGAAAAATGAGCCAAAACTTACACCAGGCAAAAGCTTTTTTCTTTTAGGATCCACAATTAGTGGTAGAGAAGGAAAATGAAAATAGTTAGGAAGAAAAAAGGAATCTCCCTGTCTCTCTCTCGGCCTCTATGATTTCTGTAAGCTTTTCCACTTAATATACTGGTGTTGTTAATGTTTTCTTCTGATGCTTATTTGATGTGTTTTCCGCTTGGTATTGCTTTTCACATTATATATATCCTTTGAAGGACATTTGACGTTCTCCCGGTTCCTCGTTTTAGTTGTTTGTTAATGTGGATTTCAGATTATGAGTGCCAATGCTTAAAGGGGATTTTTTTTCCTCGACTTCTCCTTTTTCAACAGTGTAAGTTAGCTGGTAAGGGCTGCGTTTCTGAGAAGCGTTGAATTGATGAGGCACGGTATAGAAAAGAAAACTGCATTGTATAGAGAACGCGATGAACTTTCCTCAGGATCTGTCGATGCTGATATACCACGTGATTATGATGAGAAAGAGAAGTTTCGGATGATACTTAGAAAATCCAAGAACAAGATCTACCTCCCAAAGTTAGCCAGCAACAATGTGAAGTAACTGTAGATGCGGATGCTGCTGCAGCTATCCTTAAGGCTGCCACTAGTGGCATTAAGAATCCGAGTCTAGAACTATTCCCGAAACTATCAGGTGTTGGCATTGGTCAAGGCCCTGGCAATGTGGGCTGGCAATCTTTAAGCTTTGGGAGTCTCCACACATCTCAACCTCCAAGTTCCATCCAAAGGCAAACTGCAATCGGGCAGCCTAGTTTCTGTCCCCGAAGAAAAGGCCATAGCAGAGACGGCTGCTCTTGCAGCTGCTAATGAGGGTGATTCAGCTACCTCCCAAAGTTAGCAAGCAACAATATGAAGTAACTGTAGATGCGGATGCTGCTGCAGCTATCCATAAGGCTGCCACAAGTGGCATTAAGAATCCGAGTCTAGAACTATTCCTGAAACTATCAGGTGTTGGCATTGGTCAAGGCCCTGGCAATGTGGGCGGGCAATCTTTAAGCTTTAGGAGTCTCCACACATCTCAACCTCCAAGTTCCATCCAAAGGCAAACCGCAATCGGGCAGCCTAGCGTTTCTGTCCCCGTAGCAAAGGCCATAGCAGAGATGGCTGCTCTTGCAGCTGCTAATGAGGGTGATTCCTCTTAAGCATCCTTGACCCGAGAACAGAAGCTAAAGGCTGAGAGATTGAAAATTTGAAACCGACAAAGATGTTTCAATCGAAAGCAAATGAGAAGTGAAGGAGCTAGTAGGGAAACCCCTGTAGATTTGTTAAAATTGCATCAAAAAGAAACTGCTCCATCACAGACCTGTGAAACCATGGTGGATGATTTAAGAGCCAAAATCCGTGCCATGTTGATGGCAACGTTGTAATAGGAGGAGGGCTACTTTCTTCATTTTTTTTCCCCTAGTATTGTAATTACAATCTTAACGATTTCTATCATTCATGGTAAACGGGCAAAGAGATCTTTATTTAAAATTTAAAGGGTAAAGTGAGAGTTTTCAAAGTTTAAAAGACAAAGTAGACCCTAAAAAAATATATATCAATTTAGATGTGCAAATGTCTTATATATGGGAGCCAAATAGACAATGAAGGACGAAATATCAACCGAAAAATTTCATTAACGTAATAAGGCATCTTAATACACAAGTAACAAATATCCATCGTACAATTCTAGCTGGTCAAATGACTCAAATGTCCAGCAACAAATGAAGAAATAACTAAACATTAAAACAATAAACATCGGTTTGTAATATCAATAGTTAAACTGAAAAAATAAAAGAAGAACTATGAACATCGTCAGATTATCTTCAAAGATAATCAGCAGCAATAATACATTTCTTCTTCAGACTGATTCCTCTGGCGAGACAACTATTGATCCACTAGTTTGCTGCTCCAAATTCTTGTCTGACCTTTGGCTTTTCCTCCTCAAAACGACATACCAAGTGAAAGCTTCCAAAACGACAGCAACACAACCCAACGACACAATAATCCCAGTATAAGCATCTCTCCAAAATTTTCCTGGCTCCAATATATCCAATCCTTTGTACACGTTAAAGACGCCAAGACCAATTGTGGCATACCCAAAAGCATAGTGAAACACATTCCAAAACACCCTGTATTCATGTTCTTTCTTAGGCCTCAAGAAACCACCAACCAATGCTTGAATCGTTGCGAGGGCAAAAATAGTTATGCCAATACATCTGTGGCCACTGTTCTCAATCCCTGCAGATTTAGCGCCGAGCCAAAGCCCTGTTCCCCATCCGACTACTCCGACGAGATAACCCGAAAACTGACACGTCACATGAAGATAAAACCATGCCGGATCTGCCGCTTCAAAAACCTTAACATGCCTAGCTATTATGGCACCAAGAGGCATGAGGAAACCCCAACTGGCGGCGTTGATTATTCCATGAACATTCTTCATTGTAGCCCTAGAATCTCTTTTGCTTTCTTCCACTTTTCCCGAGAGAAAGTCGACGGTTCCGAAGGACCGGAGATTAGGACCAGACAATTCGTGCATCGCCGGAACATCCCCGGAAACTTTTCCTTCTTGCCAAACGTGGTTTACGACACTGGTATTGTAAGGCAGTTGTACAGTCGCAAAGATGAACATCTCGTCGTTTTCATAAGAGGCGGAGATATCAAAAACAGAGAGACTGAGATTACCCTCTTGAAGCTGAGCCCCGTAGCTCGTTAAGGGAGAAGTGTAGGCCGAAACTCTCCCATCGGAACGTTGAAAAGCGATCAGAGCCTGTGAACCGACCATGCCTGTTGAAGTAGGGTTTATGGCCCTCCCGATCCACGACGATCTCGAACCACTCAAACCCGATTTTCGGAAGGCGATTTCGACTTTTCCTGATGAAGGAATGTAGTTCCAGTGGAGGGTCGAGTCCAGAACCGGAAGATCATCACAAGCTGCAAAGGTTTTTTGGTTTGGAAATCGGTTGGTCATGCATGGTTGTGAGAATATGGTTGAAGAGAAGGATAAGAGGGCAAGAGTGAGAAACAAGAGAGACCTCTTCATGATGAAAATCATGTTCATCATAATCATGATCATGAAAAGCCTTAACTAGAGCGATGAACACTGATCGTAAAAGAGAATGAAATAAAAACTGATTGTGACGGACCAAAGCTTCAAAAGCACATATAATATACAGAATGGAGAGTCCTAGTCCTATATTATGGAGGAAAACGTGAGGTCTTAGAAAGTTTATGCAATTCAAATCCTTTTTTGACTATCAAAAGGTTTCCCTGATTATGATTTGAATTTGGAAACAAATAACAACGGCTTTCTTTTATTTTTTATTTTTAATTTATGATTAAGTTCTGCTATAGAGTACGTACTTGTACTCCAATTCCAATACTGATTCTTTCCCAGATATAAACACTAAAAACCATTCGAGCTAGTTCGAGTCACTTTTGGACTCTGCTCTTTAGAACGCCATTCCCTGCACAAGAAGGATTCAAAAATGTGCAGCGGTTTTTTCCCAACTTGTTTTGTTTCTCATTCATTTACAATTTTTTAATGGCTTTTTTTTTACAGACACCCCACAATTTTTTAAATTTAAAAATTTGGTCCTTATTTTTTTTTTGGTAATTAACCCTTTCAATTGAAAATCTTTATAATTAAGGGTCTAATAAAAAACAACATTTGTTTTTTGGAGTATTTTGATCACATAACGCATACGTGAGTAACTGTTGAGGGCAAAGACCCATGAAAACCAGGAGTTGGTTATCATATTGATTGTGCTCGAACATATTAGATGATTCTGACATCAATATAACCCTACTCATTGCATGCAACAGATGCTCACATGCGCATCACGTGATCATTTAATCGAGACATCATTTTAGACTGAGCCTTAATTTCAAAGATTGTCAAATTGAAGGGGTCAATTGTTGAAAAAAGAAGAATAGAGTCCAAATTACTAAATTTAAAAAGTTAAAAGAGGATGTCCCTAAAGAACAACCTTTTCTTATTATAAAACAAATGAAAATAGCACAAAAGATAAACTGCAAAGCATAAATAAAAGAGAGACACAAGAAAAATATGAGAGCCTGTCATTTTTTATTCTTTCATTCACTTGTAATAGGTGTGTTCAAAACAAGCTCATACAACTTCTATTTATAAGCTAGGAATCATGAGTAAAGATAGACTAAAAGACACAAGTTATATGAGTTACATACAATATTAAGATGAGAATTATAAAGAGATAATACACAACATTAAGGGTAGAATTA